GAAGGTGTAATTCTGTAAGTGAAGACATTTTCATGATTCACATGCCCAGGAACCTCAATCAAAGAGACAAATCCATTCGGCTGTAATATTTACTGCAACTTGAGTGGCTTATTTAGTTAAAAGAATCCCAGGAATATCTATGAAATGCACATATCTGGGATGTCATAAACACAGCTGAGCTGTGTGTGTTCATGCACAGGGTGCTTGATGCAGAACGTTGTAGGTGCTGTTGCATTTCTCTTCTCTTCCCTCAGTCCTTCCCACTCCCCTCTCCACTTTGGGGAGAAAACAGCTGCTTTTGGCACTGTTTGGGACTTGTGAAGATCCACAGCCCTAATCCAGGTATTTTGTCACTGCTGCTGAGCTGAGAATTGGACTGTGACTTTTGTCCTCCTCTTTAAGTTAAACAGTGTGTGAATATGCAGAATGTATGTGCAGAGTTAATCACAGAATGGTTTGGGTTGTAGGGAGCCTAAAGACCATCCAATCCCACCCCCTGCCATGGGCAGGGACACCTTCCACTATCCCAGGCTGCTCCAAACCCTGTCCAGCCCAGACTCAGACACTTCCAGGGATGGGAATAATACATATATATTTATCTGAGGACTGAGGAAGTGATGTTATAGCACCATTTTTATTCTGTATTTAGGGAAATGACCATTGCCCTTTTATCTTGAGGATTAGGGAGAACTTGTTACCTCATCTCTGGATTATACCAAGTTTATCTCTAAAGCAGAATCTGAGTGAGTTTCAAAGCAAGACCTGAGCCAAGAAACACAGCACACTTCATCTGAGATAACAAATGATGCCTTGATAGCTTGGGTCTCCTGTAGGATTAAAACTTCTTGGCATAGATAGCAGCTCAGTTGATCACTTGAACTGCAATTAAAAAGTAGAACAAGTACACTCAGAATATTGTTTTTGTGTCAGAAATGCTCCTTCATGCTTGAAAATGATAAAAAATGGCGATCGATCCTTACAACTGTCGTGTTCATCTTTATTGATCAGGCCAAAGAAAGATAAATCACGGCCCAAATAAGATTATAGTGGATGTTGGTGTGGGAGGGGACTGGGGGTGATGGAGAACTATTCATCATCTCAGCCCCTGACCCGTCCTCGCTCGCCCCGTCCTCAGTCGCCGCCTAATCCCGGACCTATTGATTCCATCTCCATCCCGGGAAACCTGGACGGGGCTGTCATTGGGCAGCTGGGATTGCTGGATGCGAGGGGGTCACCGGTGTGAGCAGGGTTTCATTTGCACTTTTCTTCCTGGCCAATGATGATTTATGAAAAAAATAAACGACCCCACGTCCCGCGCGTGGAAACCTCGGTTCCAGGACAAATGAGTTATTAGGGCTGGATGTGGGAGGCAGGAGAGCAGCAGAGCACTGTGCTCTCTGAGGGCTGGGCCTGACCTTTGACTGCAGCAGGTCTCAGCCAATTTGTTATAATTTGTGGGAAAAATATGAGCCTTGCAATACAATTTTCCCCGTGTCTGGAGCTGGCGGTTCATTCGGTGATTTCGGTGTGCTTCAAGATTATAATTCGCCAGAAAGAACCTTGGAAGGTGAAATCTGTAAGTGGAAAAGAAAAATGTTTTTCCTTTCATTGGTGTTTTTTTGTTGTTGTTGTTGTTGAGTTAGTTCTGAGTCTTTTGGAATTTCATAAAGTTGTTTTTGCTGGAATGGGCTCTCTTACCTGCCCCCCTCATAACATGACTTGGCACAGATGGATGTTGCTCAGGACACGTTTACTAACCCAATGACCACAGGCCCTGTGTCATCTTTGACTTTTATAGAAGAGTGATCTCTCCATTTACAGGCTTTTTCCCTAAAAACCTTGTTGGCCTTATTGCTTTTTCATACATCAATGTCTTGAACAAATAAAGCTGGTCACTTTAGCCAGCATTAAAATTGGAATGACATTTTCCATGGGCTGCATCGTGCCTTCCATGTGTGTTATAGAATCATGGAAAGGGTTTGGCTTGGAAGGGACCTTAAAAAGTGTCTCATTCCACCCCTTGCCATGGGCAGGGACACCTTCCACTAGCCCAGGTTGCTCCAACCTGGTCTTGGACACTTCCAGGGATCCAGGGGCAGCCACAGCTTCTCTGGACAACCTGGACCAGGGCCAGCTATTCCTTCCCAATATCCCATCTATCCCTGCCCTCTGGCACTGGGAAGCCATTCCCTGTGTCCTGTCCCTCCCTGCCTTGTCCCCAGTCCCTCTCCAGCTCTCCTGGAGCCCCTTTAGGCCCTGCAAGGGGCTCTCAGCTCTCCCTGGAGCCTTCTCTTCTCCAGAATGAACCACCCCAGCTCTCCCAGCCTGACACATGTTAAATATTTTAAAAGATTCGCAATCGATATTGAGGCATCAATAACTTTAAACCAGGGGATAAGTCGTAGGTTGTTAAAATGAGGATTCAGAATGGTTTGATGGAATCCCACAGGGTGTGACTGTGAGAGTTTCGTTGCCGTGTTGCCACGACTCCCTGGGATTCCTGATGACTCAAAGCTCCAGAACAGTTCTTGCAAGTGCCAGCACAACCTTTCTGCATCTCCACGACCTGTTTTCACTGTCAGTCAGAGAAAAAAATGGTTTTAGGGAAGTTTTGAGCTGTTTTAACTTTTCTTTATTCCTCCAACTGTGCAGCCAGGTGCCTTAGTTATTAGAGCTGAAATCCAACTGTGCCAAGGCTATAAAAACCTCCTGAAAAATGCCAAGTATATATTATTTAGACATGAAGCATCACAACATTACAGTGATTTGTCTTTGGATATGAGATCATAGAATTCTTTAGCTTGGAAAAGACTTTTAAGATCATTAAGTCCTGCTGTTCCCTCAGCAGTGCCAAGGCCACCACTGACCATGTCCTCAAGTGCCACATCCACAGGGCTTTTAAATCCCTCCAGGGATGGGGACTCCACCCCTGCCCTGGGCAGCTGTGCCAGGGCTGGACAGCCCTTTGCAGGAAGGAATTTTCCCAATATCCAACCTGACCCTCCCCTGGCACAGCTTGAGGTCATTCCCTCTCCTCCTGTCCCTTGTTCCTTGGGAGCAGAGCCCGACCCCCTCCCCGGCTCCCCCCTCCAGGGACTTGCAGAGCCAGAAGGTCCCCCCTGAGCCTCCTTTGCTCCAGGCTCAGCCCCCCCAGCTCCCTCAGGAATTCTCCAGACCCTTCCCAGCTCTGTTCCCTTCCCCACACACGCTCCAGCCCCTCCAGGTCTCTCCTGTCTGAGGGGCTCAGAACTGCCCCCAGCATTCCAGAGGGGGCCTCCCCAGGTCCCAGCACAGGGAACAATCCCTCCCCTGCTCCTGCTGGACACACTGTTCCTGATCCAACCCAGGGGCCATTGGCCTCCTGCCCCCCTGGGCACACCCGGGTTCATGTCCAGCCACTCACACCAGCACCCCCAGGGCCTCCCTGGTGAGCCAGGGCTGCTGATAACCCATGGAAAATGGCTCAGTGAGCTCTTCCACCATCTCCCTCAGCACCCCTGGGTAGATCCCATCCCACAGACCAGAGTGTCTCTTAAGTGCTGTAGCTGCTCACCGACCCTTTCCCCTTGGATTATGGGGTCTTCAGTTTGTTCCCCATCCTTCTCTTCCAGTTCAGGGCTCTGGGTGCCCAGGGGGGCAAGAGGGCCAATGGCTGCTGGGTTGGCTGAGGAAGAGTGTGGCAGCAGGAGCAGGGCAGGGCTTGTGCCCCTGGGCTGGGCGCTGGGGAGGCCACCCCTGGAGTGCTGTGTCCAGCTCTGGGCCCTGAGCTCAGGAAGGTCCTGGAGGGGCTGGAGCAGGGGCAGAGAAGAGCAGCGAGGCTGGGGAAGGGACTGGAGCACAAGTGCTGTGAGGAGAGGCTGAGGGAGCTGGGGGGGCTCAGCCTGGATGTGGCATCAGTGCCATGGGCTGGGAACCACAGTGGGGTTGGGTCACAGGTTGGACTGGATGATCTCGGGGGGCTTTTCCAACCCAGCTGATTCTGTAATTCTATGAACAACTGATCTTACTCCTAAAGACTGAGGCAAAGAAGACATTACGTTTCTCAGCCCTTTCCTGGGCCTTTGTCACTGTGTTTCCTCCCACATCCAATAAAGGATGGAGGTTCTCCTTAACCCTCCCTTGGTTGCTGATATTTTTATAGGGACTTTTTTAATTGTCTGTTGTAGCAGTGGCCAGTTTTAAGTTACAGTTGGGCTTTGGCCCTTCTTATTTTCTCCGTACCATGACCTCACACCATCCCTGTATTCCTCTGGAATATCCTACCCCTTCTTCTAAATTTCAGAAACTCTCCTTGCCATTTTTACACATGGAGAAGTTCTGTTTCTCGCTGATCCTATCTTGCCTTCGTTCTGGAAAGGAATGACTTGATGAGACCGAGTCAAAGCCATTCCCGGGTTTAAGGGAGATGAAAATACCTTCTGAAGCTGCCTAATTTTCAAAATTAAAATTAAAATTAAAATTAGCGACTGATTGAAGCGACCTGGAAGTTTGGAAAATCACAATAACTCCCTGCAAAGGCATTTTTAAGGCGAAGACTAAAAGAGAAAGTTAAAATGTAGTTAATTTATTGTGTGGCTTTGAAGTTTGGCTCAAGTGTCACCTGTAAAGCAGATGGGGATGTGTTTGTAAGTAACACAGACAGTGACATGCAAAGAAGGAAGGATTCAGTATTTTGATTTTTCTTTCTGATGAAGAAGTTTCAAAGCCTCCAGGAACACCTTGTGCTACATATGGGATTCTTACCCCGTGTCTCTTTAGAATTTCCTCTCTCCTTCATAACCTTCCAGAACCAAGAGGACACACTTATTTAAAAAGTAATCTTTGAAATTTTGTGTGGATTTCATTTTGTGGTCAGATTTTGAGGGTTTTTTGAGCAACTTAAATGGATAAAATATCCAAATTAGCTGGATTAACTAAATATTTTGATGCATATAAATGATATTATTTGAAATGATGCATATAAAGGATATTATTTTTATTTTGTTTTCTTCCCTTCCCAGAGTGCCCAGTTCTACAAAGTCACCACAGAGCAATACCAAAAAGCTGCTGATGAAGTGTCAGCTCGGTTCAAGTAAGTCTGTTCCCTTGGGTTTTTCTTGATTCTGGCAGCTGGAGGAGTTTTTATCCACATTAAATTGCACAATAAATCCCCTTTCCCCCCCTCATAGATCCTATCAATCCATGCTGGTTATTGAAAGGAGGGAATTTGGAAGAATTTGGAAGCCAGTGTATAGAAACCATAAGCTGCATAGAAATGGAGTTAATATATATTAATTAATTTATAGCCGATAAGAATAAGAAATACTCTAAAAATATATTCCCTTTCTCTAAATGGAGCACCAAAAATGTAGCTCCAACTTTGCATTACAATCGTGTTCATCCCGTGCCTGCATGATGGGAAAGATTTAAATTGGGAACTTCACTTTGCCCTGAACAGTGAAGGTCAAATTAAATAATTTTTATTAGTCCTGAAAATGGTTAAATAAAGATCCAGTAATTGATGGATCAAAGGGACTCTGACCCTTGGCCTTGGACTCTTCCCTTTTGGCTGCTTCATCCCCGAGGCAGAAGGTTCCATTTATCATTTTAGTGAGGATACAGAGGGAACTTTTCCCACCCTTTCTGGTCTCTGCTCTAACCCAGAAATGCTGCATAAAATGAATTATTATTCTGCCATGATTTTTAGATTTTTGTTGGAGGGATTTTCTTTTGGTTCCGTGTTTTGTTTTGACTTTCGGTGAGAAAATCCCTTTTGAGCTGCTGATAATGATGCAAATAAAATTCTTTAATGTGAGATAAACCTCGTTTTAGCTCTTAATATCCTGAATTGTTAGATATTCTCTAGTGTACCTGTAAATCTTTGTGCTGGTTAATGGTGCAGAGTGTGCTGAGGACTCAATTGATCTGTCCCTTAACAAGAGGGACAAGGTGACCATTGATCAAGGGCTGATTTAAGGATAATTTGGAGGGTGTCCCATTATATCTGGAAAACCAGGGAGGTTGTGATAAGATTCCCATTAAGTGGGTGTCTCCTCCCTGTGTTAGGTGAGGTTTTTAAATCTCATTTGTATTATTCCAAAGGGAGGTTTTGTTGGGATTTCAAACCCCGATCCTGAGGAACCAGCTCAGAGCTCTGGGTGGGTTTTGTGGCCAGAGGTGGGAAATGGGCTTTGGGATTGGGTTTTTCCTCTGATATATGAATGATTTCCCAAGTAAATCAAATAATTCTGGGTTCCTTTTTGCACAAATGGAGCTGGTAGATATTGCAGAGGCCAGACCTTTGCATTAAGTGATTTTAAGAAAATAATTCTGAAGGATGTTTCTGCCTATCTGCATAAAGCAGAGTATTTTCCAAGAGGGATTTGGAGAGGGAATCACATTCCTAACGCTTGATAAGACTGATTTTTTCTTAATTTTTTAGATTTTAAAGGTATAAATAGAAATCACCTATTTGAGTGGTCTTTGCTGAAATGGCACTGCTGCAATTCCTGTGCTGCTTTTGCACTTAAAGTCAAATTTCCTAAAAATTATTTGGAGCTTTTGGATCAGTGGGTTCAGTATTGGTCCGTTGGCTTAAAAAGGAAAAAAAACAAAACCCAAAAGGAAAAAATTAGGAAGTAAAAAGGGAAAAAATAGGAAGTCAAAGGGGAAAAAATTAGAAAGTAAAAGGGGAAAAAATTAGGAAGGAAAAAGGGAAAAAATTAGGAAGTAAAAGGGGAAAAATGGAAGTAAAAAGGAAAAAATAGGAAGTCAAAAGGGAAAAAATTAGGAAGTAAAAAGGGAAAAAATTAGGAAGTAAAAAGGGGAAAAAATAGGAAGTAAAAAGAAAAAAATGGAAGTAAAAAGGGAAAAAATTAGGAAGTAAAAGAGGAAAAATAGGAAGTAAAAATGAAAAAGATAGGAAGTAAAAAGGGAAAAGATAGGCAGTAAAAAGGGGAAAAAATAGGAAGTAAAAGGCAAGAAAATTAGGAAGTGAAAAGGAAAAATATTAGGAAGTAAAAGGGGAAAATTTAGAGTGAAGTGGGTACTGTTCTTATATATTGAATATTTCTTGGGTTTTTAATACAATTGGTCTACAATTAGTTATCAAGTTTTGTTGACTTGAATTTCTTCCCCTTTTTAAGCTACACCTCTTTCAAGAGTCAAGTGGATGCTGCTATTATATATTAAATATGTCCTGGGTTTTTAATGTAATTATTCTGCAATTGGTTGCCAGGTTTTATTGAGAGAACCTGAGTTTCTTCCCCTTTTTAAACTGCACCTCTTTCAAGACTCAAGTGGATACTATTACTATGTATTAAATATTTCTTGGGGTTTTTATACAATTAGACTACAATTAAGTACGAGGTTTTAGTGACTTGAATTTCTTCCCCTTTTCAAGCTACATCTCCTTCAAGAGTCAAGTACTATTATTATATATTAAATATTTCCTGGGTTTTTATACAGTTTTCTACAATTAGTTACCAAGTTTTATTGAGATAGCTTGAATTTCTTCCACTTTTTAAGCTAGATCTCTTTCAAGAGTCAAGTGCTCTTATTATATATTAAATATTTCCTGTTTTTTTATACAGTTAGTCTACAATTATTTATCAAGGTTTATTGACTTGAATTTCTTCCCCTTTTTAAGCTGCACCTCTTTCAAGAGTCAAGTGGATACTATTATTATATATTAAATATGTCCTGGTTTTTGTATACAGTTAGTCTACAGTTAGTCACCAAGTTTTATTGAGAGAACTTGAATTTCTTCCCCTTTTTAATCTACATCTCCTTCAAGAGTCAAGTGGATACTGTTATTGTATATTAAATATTTCCTGGATTTTCCTTCCTCCATTTAGTCCCTGGAAGTACATCAGTCTGCAGGGCTAATTAACCCCGTTACAAAGGGGGAAAATACAAATATCCCAGATGGATTTGCAGCCGAGACCTGGCAGGTCTTTGTCTGCAGCCCCTCATTCCGAGCTGCCCGGATTAACCCGATATCCCGACTGCCCGTGATAAATGTTTTATCTCGGCCCGGTCCCGATTCCCATCGATCAAATTGGGAATTATCAAATGGTGCATCTCGTTCCCATTGATCAAACCCTAAATGAGTGGGATCAGGCAGTTCCTGCAGTTCCCAAATCCCATTAAACCCCCATTACGGGGTCGTAATGTTGGAGCGACGTTCCCCACGCTTCCATTAGAACCCCAATTATTCCATTATGGAGATGGCTCTGTTAATAATGAGAGGTTTACACAAGAAGGAAAAAATGTCATATTACAAGAAGAACCAAGCTCTGGGTGAGGATTTGAACTTTCCCTAATCAAATTGTACCGTTGGATTGTGGGTTTTTGGTTTTTATTCCCTGAATTTGAAGTTCGGCAGCTGCAGTGGCGACGTTTTATTCCCCCATGGAATTTAGAGCCGAGTAACGTCTTCGTTATTCATTTAGCAGCAGAGTAGGCAGATAGGGCATATTCAGCCTAAAATAAATGTTTTTTGTCTTCTGTGGGTTTTGATTCCTTGTGGGAGATGTAGAATTCCAAGCTGTGCACTGGTGCTTTTTCCGAACTATCCTACCATTCCCTTCCTGCTCCACTGCTCTCATTGACAACACAGAATTGCTTCTTGCTGCTGTTTTTTTGGGTAAAAACTTAGTGCCCAGCCCTGGGTCCAAACCCCGGGGCCTCTTTGGGGATTGCCTGATCCTTTTGGTGGTGAGGTTTTGCCCACTAATGTAATTAATTCCCCAAAATTTTGCTCGAGGAATAATGTGTCACTTCCAAACTCCTGCGTCTACACCAAACCCAAATTCTGGATTTTGTGCATCACAGTGCAGGGTTTGTATAGATCAGACTCACAGAATATCCTGACCTGGAAGGGAACCACGAGGATCATTGATCTGGCTCTGCAAGGACAATCCCAACAATCCCACCCTATCCCTGAGGGCGTTGTCCAAAAGCTCCTTGAGCTCTGGCAGCCTGGGGAGCCTGAATGAAATTCCTGGAGGAAATTATCCAGCACTAACAGTTGTAATCACAGAGGATCCTTCGCATCATTTGGAAATTTAGGTGTTTGTTCTGAATCCCAACTTTTGGTGGCTTTATTCCCCTTACTGTGAGACTTTTGGGCATGAAGCTTTGCCATCAGTAGGAATTCCTCTGGGGAACAGTTTGAATAAACACCGGAAGGTTTGGGATTTGCTCAGGCTGCTTCACACAGTAAAATCTTCACACATCCCAGCCGTTTTCAGAGCAGTTTTACAGACCAAATCGATCCACTTCAGGTGATCCTGGATCATTTCCATCGCTCTGATGGGTGTGGGGACTCGTTTATCTCCAGGCACTTAGGATCTGGAAAATATCTTCAGCAGGAATATATTTGATTTGGCTCAGGACAGAATGAATGGGGATAAATGACAAATCATCAGTCTTCCTTTGATTGCTGACTTCTGCATCACAAAGCTTGGTTTCTCAGTGTTTACTGAAAATAAAATTTAAAGCATCATCATCATCATCACCATCACAGAATTGGAAAGAACCTTAAAGGATCATCCAGTTCCACCCCTGCCATGGGCAGGGACACCTTCCACTAGAAGTTGTGTTTGGTGCTCATCTGTAAATATTTGAAATACTGGGAGTATTTCCTTGGAGTTGTGTTTTAACTAATATTCTTTTGAACTGTAAGTGAAGCTGAGAGAGTGTGTCATGAAGCCACATTAAATGAATAACAGTGTTGGATCTTCAAATATCATTGTCTCACAAAGCAGTGATGCTGATTTTCTGGACTTTGGTAAAAAAAGGATAGAGAGGAAATAACCTTTTATCGATGACATTGGAGCGAGTCCAGGGGAGTGTGGCTTTTTTTTCACTGTCCTCATTACCCCTGTGATGTTGAGGCACATATGGTGACTTTGAAGTGGCTCTTTTTCACTGTAAATTAGGAATATTGATAGTTCCTTTATGCAAACATCCTCAGGAACTATCCTGTTGTACTCACGTGCTGCTGTAACATAGAAATCGGTGTCGCAGAGGGCCAAGCAAATCACTCCTCCTTTGTTTCTGCTTGTGCAGATCCCCTGGTGAGAAACT